TCCTGCAGGGAGCCCGGCACACAGCCTCCCACTGTGGTCTGCTGGTCTCAGACGACAGGAAACAGATTACTCACCGCTGCATCCCTACCCGACTTCAGCACACCTTGACACACACAGTCCTTTAACAAACTGTATTTTTTTAGTGAACTGCAAACTTAAGTAGAACACAAGACTTTTTTACCCCAGCACTGTTCAGTTAGAAAGCAGCCTGCCCAGGCTGCTGACGCTTTCTTTGCCCCACAGAACATGAATATTCTAGAAGGTACGTGAACAGTTTTCCTTCCTCAACTGCAGGGGGTGGTGTGTGTCCCGCCTCCTCTCACAGATGCTGGGGAGGTGGCTGGGCGGTTAGGGATGGCGACCCGGAGGGGAAGGGTGTGCCTGGGGCCTGCGAGGCTCGGCCAAGTGACTCAGGAAGTCGCCCTGACCTCAGCTCGCAGAGGTGGCAGCCCAGGCGACGGCCCGCCAAGGGGCAGTGGCCAGCGCCGGCGAGGCTGCCAGTAAGAAGGGGCCGGGCGGAGTCGGGGCGACAGAAAGAAGGGGGGGACAGAAAACCCTCGAGGACTTGAGGCTACGCAAACACCTGCGTGGCATGTGCCCGGTCAGAGCTGTTGACAATATGCAGGCCCGTTTACCAGCGCATTAGGAGCAAGGGCCGAAACGGAAAGACCAGTTTTCTTCATTCATCAGTATGTAAAATCGCCCCTTCTCTCCTGCCCCCCGTCTCTACCTGTTTTTGTGTGTGTGCTTTTTATGGTAACGCTAGAGGATCGGGTGTCGCAGATAGCGAATCTAAAAGGCACAAATTGACAGACACGGGGAAATTCCCAAAGCACTCTTATTAGAGGGGGGGCGTGTAATTCTCTCACTCTGGAGACTAGAAATCAGCTTCCATTTTTTCAAAGCTTATGGAGACAGCAGAATGCTGTCCAAATAGACACGGAGGTGTTTATTTTAGTCTTTCCGTTTCTTCCCGGGGATATGGAACTCCTGCGCTCAGAGCAGTTATTCTGAAAAGGGGGTCGATAAACACAAAATTCAAGAAGGCTTTCCTACGGTGAGCCGCAGAAGCAGCGAGAACGATGCCTCCCTGACCTCCGTGGCCTCCCCCTGTGCACCACACGGCGGTGAGACGAACCTGGTCCGTGCAGGCACGCCGCGTCCATTCCCAGTTGTGTGTCATCCGAAAGTAAACACAATGAAGTGACGCTGTGAACTCAGTACGTGGTGAGTTTCTAGGTAGACTCAGCACTTCAAGCCTGGTTCCCACTTTGGGAATAAATATAAACATAAATGGTCATAAAATGACTTGATTATAAGAGGCAAAACTACCCGAACCACCACCTTCCAGAGAATGCCAGGGCATGCTGCTCACAAACGAGCAATAAAGCAAACCACTCGCACAGAAGAGCAGAGGAAACACACACCGTGCTGATTTTTTTTTTTTTTTAAAGTATCAGAGAATCCCCAAACTCTATTGATAGTTCTGTAAAGACATTTTTTAAAAACAAATTGTTTCCTTTCCCACATTTACTTAAATACATCAGAGACATTAAACATCTACTTCCAAGGATTAAAGAAAATAGCCTAGTCTCTCCATGCCACCTCCTACCCAATTCTCACCAGAACTTCATTTATGTTCCTTTACGAATAGCTCAGGACCACACAGGAGATGCCCAGGCATAGGTTTACTCTGTCCTTGGTCACTCAGATATTTACTGAGTGTTCACTGTGGGTTAAGCAGCATTTTCGGTCTCATAGATTCACCAGAAAATACTATTACTACTATTACTACTTATAATCCTTGCTTTCATGGAGCTTACAGTAGAGTTAAGGAGATGGATGATTAAGAAAATAAATATATAATACGTAAGGTGCTTAAAAAAACACAAAGTAGGCTAGAGGATAGAGAGGGATGGGGAGGGTGCTATTTTATACAGGTCAGGGATGACTACTTTGAAAAGGCAACTTGAGAAATCCTATTTAAGGATGCAGAGAAGCTCAGGAAAGAAGTGTAGATCACCATCTCCTTACTTATACACTAAGCAATATTTAAATATGAAGGTGGACAGTTTTCAAAAAGTTAATTTCAAAAGTGGCTCATACTAAATTTTCAAATAGACCAATGGGTGTGGATCCTAACTATAAACGACTACAACTATATTCTTAGAAAGCACTCTTGTCAACACCTCTGAACTGTCACATAGTGCCTGGGAGGGCCCTGGGGAAAGGGTATCATGATGGTGACAGATATAATAATTGTGTGTTTTTTTTAACCATAAGACTGTGCTCAACGTTTTAAAAACAGTTGTAAATTAAAGTTGTGTCAAATCGTTCACTTTTCCAGGCAAACTGGAAAAGGAAGGTCCATTCTGCCTCACCAAGACAGATACCTTACACGATGTTAGCCACTGGGAACCAGAAGAATCGCCAGAGCTCATCTAACTCAACTTTCTCATGTTACTCATCATAAAATGGGCCTTGGGCCTCTTAGGGGCCAAGGTTAAACAATTAATTCAGTGTTATGTGTAAGAAACCAGGTCTCCTGACTCTGAGGTCAGTTTTCATTGCCACATCTTAGAGCCACCACACCTTAGAGCCAGTTTGAGTCACTTCGAGGAGCAAAGTGTGTCTGCTAGAAAGAAAGTGGCAGATCTGAGAGGTGGTTAATGGGGACAAGAAGAGGAGTGTTACAGAGTTTGGCATAGAGTCTGCGAGGACTGCTGAGGGCAAGTCACAGCTAATTCAATGGCTGTTACGAGGATTACTCAAATGTTCACATTCCCACCATCACACCCATCTACGTGCAAGCACACATTCTCTGAAAATCTCCTGCCTTCCTCATTATAATGGCACAACCCTTGGGAAATATAAACTCAGTGTTGTAAAAATGCACCAAGATTATAAAAAGTTACCAATTTTAAAATTTACTAAGAAAACTGGGACACCCCCACCCCTGCCCTCGACATAGTCCAAGCATATGCAATTTGGAAGATAAAGTTCCCAGGAGGAGTTCATTAGAATTTAGTATTTTCTCTCAAACTACTTCATTTATAGAGGGGTTTTACAATAACTTTAAGTTGGCCATGTGGTATCTGAAAGTTTACCATCAGAACCTCACTTAATGTTTGTGGCTTGACACGGTATCATAGAGCAATTCAAAGCAATGGTTTGAAAAAACCCCACAAGATTCAAAACAAAAGCTATCACGATTATAGTAACTGCAGTGCTCATTTAAATGTAATCTGAAACCTAAACCACTTTTCCATAAGACACTTGTTTCCTAGGATGAAAGTATTTTAAAAAACATCTCCAGAAGTACATCCTAACAGTTGCCTGATTGAGAAAATAATTTCCAGTAAAATAAACGCTACTCCGGCACCCAAATCTAACAGGCCCCAAATTATTCCTTAAAAGTGACAGAAACTTTCACAATAAGAGAGACTTTTTATTAAGTATAAAGTGCCTCACACGACGCTCTGCCCCTAATGGGGACCCCAAACCAAGATGCCACGGATCAATAAGCAGTAGCACGGATACATCTATAGACTCACAAAATAACACTTCATGGGATCAGTGATTGCCTAAGATTGCAAACTTGCTTGTGCTTGACAATATGACCTAGAATTCAGATCAACTGACTTTCCACCAGAACCAGCATGCTCATATGTACAAGATGAAAACACATGAAAACACCAGCATCGCACATAGTCTGTTCACTATGATGCACTGGGAGATTTCAGATATAATAAACTTACTTTAATATGATTATTTAACCCATTTATATGAATAAATATGCATACTTAATACAAATATTTAGAAAACCATGAAGTAAAAAAATTCAGTGGAAATTTTTCTTTCCAATGTGAATGCTTTTGCTCCCTGGTATATGTCCTCATCTTACCGCACCCTGCTTTTCGAGATTGTTTATATAATTGGACAGAAGATAATAAACACCTGGAAAAATTTCCTGATTAAATTACTAAGGAGCTGAAAACTTAATATATAAAGTTATTTATATATACACACATGTATACATACGTGTATATATACAAACACAAATATATATTCATGTATACATAATATATACAAATATGTAATATATATATTAAGTATGTGTATATATATATACTAAGTATATACATACACATTGTGTATACATTTATAGACAAATATATGTAAAAATATATATATAAAACACTACTCAAAGTTGGCTCTTAACTCTCTAAATTTGAAGGTAATATGTTCCTAGGCCATCCTGGATTTCCTGTAGCTATATTCTTTCCTGGTCAAACTCTTCTAAACTTTTTTGGGGGACACAGTCTAACTATCAGGTAAAATCTCCAGAAAGCGGAGCTGGTCCAACCCCTAAATGTCATGGCAGGTATGCCCTTCAAGGCCCATCGGGTACTGTCTCTTCAATTGCTTGATCTTCAAATGCCTTATGAAAGGTGACCAGTGGCTGACCCGCAGGATCTCAAAATCCTAATCCAGCAGCCTCATAAAAACCAGCAAATCAGCCAGTTTTGAGCAAGAGAAGTACCCAAAACAACTGACTATACCGCAGGTTTTGAAAGCCAGAAAAATTCATTCCAATCAAACACTTCACATCAATAAAAATACTGCTGGTGGCAATCCTGGTGGCTAATTCTTAGCCTAGAGAATGTGACCCCCACCCACCAACCTGAAAGAATTGCCAGGCTGCTCTCAACGTGGTACTGTTTGACTGTGGCAGGAGAAAGGGCATTCCCACATTGAAAGAATCACTGTATTCTACTCCTTTTTCCAGAAGGAGAAAATGAGAAGTGCCCCATGGAAGCTGAGAGAAAGGCAAGTTCGCAGCAAATAAAAACAGAACCTCTCCCCTAAAAAAAGAAATTAATTGGATGAGCACCTAGCACTAGCACGAACACCCCTTCATCACCCTGGCTCAGCCACATCCAGTGATTCACAACTCCCTGCAAGGCGAGCTGCTGCAGATGCTGCTCTTGTTAACTTACAACATTCACTGTGCGCTGTTCACGGGGAGCCCCAGCCGTCCTTCACCATGGAGACTTCCCACAAGAAGCTGGAGTGCTCCTGGGCTCAGGCGTGTTCTTTCTTCTTTCACAGAGAAGTGAGAAAAACCTAGCACAGGAATAGAACAGAAGAGAAAGAAAAAGGTCAACCCATCATCAGATCGCTCGTTGCCTCAACAAATGAAGTTCATAATCAATTCCTGATTGATCATTCACCAAAGACCATTCTCCAGTACCTTTTTGTAAAAAGGAAATTCAATCGTTTTGCTCTGGCCCCTGGAGACACAGCAGCATGGCACAGCCAACCTTTTGCCCTGCCCCCCATAAAGTTGAAGCCAATTCTGGGAGACCTCAGATGCAGTCCCAGCTGAGATGCAAACTTGCAACACAGCCTTGAAATAAGCCACTTGGTTTTACTCTCTGCGTAAAGGAGGGAGCTAGGACCTTTTGCCATTTTCATACCTCCTTGGGTTGTTGGGAAGATCAATAAGATCTCTCCTGCAAAGCACTCACAGTTCCTGAGAAGAAAGGCACTATGTAAACACAACGTATTATTAGTGATCATAAGCCTGTTACTGAGCTCTGAGCCAGAATATAAAAGCCAGCCTTGGCCAGCCACCAACAATCAACCGTCCCTGGGGCACCCAAACGTCTAAACATCTGCAAGGGCCACCAGGCTAAGATTCCTCCTTCCAGGGAGGGGCTGAGAGAAGCAGAGGTCTGGGATCTCAGGGAGAAAGAAACTGAGGACCTGGAGCGGGAAGGGAGAGGAAGGGGAGTGGCAGGTGGTGAGAGGCGTGGGAGGGCGCATCAGGACCTGGCCCAGGCCGCGCGGCTCCCTCGGACCGCCGGGCTGCAGTGTTGATTTAGTGCGCTGGAGGTTTAAGGGGCTGTGAAATTTTCCACTTGGCTGTCTGCCATTTCCGCTCACCGAGGATAACGCTTACACACAGAAGTGGCGCGCGAGGACCTGCTGGGGAAGGACTGGATCATTTGTTTGTTGTTTTTAAAGACCTATTCGTATTCTGATCATTAATATTTTCCACACGTGGATTTTTAAGTTTTTTCCCCTCCTTGAAGACAGAGCCAGAAACAGCTTCTCCTGGGCCAATATTATCAAGTTATTTTGACTTGGGAATTCTTGAGGAGCATACTTGAGGTACAGGAACACACATCAGTGGCTTTGGGGACAACAGAAAACAGAATTTAAGTGCTAACGCTGGGATCCTGTTTCCTTCCCAAATAAACAGTCCCCAGGGGTCTTTCAAAGTCCTGAGCACACGCCGAACAAAGGTGGGAGTGGCCGCATTAACAAGGCGGGTGTAATATTTTTGAGAGGAAAAAAGTGGTCCCTTATCTCAAAAAAAAGGCAACAGTGAATGTCAAATCTTAGATGTGGAATTGGTAAAACACCGACAAATCTACCTCAAAGTAACTAAAAAATGGAAAGGAAAAAAATTAGGACAGAAGAGAGAAAGGAAGTGTCTGCTGCTGATATAATTAACCAAGCCTTTATAGTGAGTACGGTTTACAAAGTGCCTTCTTATTAATTAACTCATTCACTCGCCAGATTTCTCCTTGGCGCGCAGTACAGCCACCAGGTTCTGTGTTTACAGCGGTGAACAAGGCAGACGAGAACCATGCCCTTAAGGAGCTCGCTGCCTCTCGAGGGACAGGCTTTGAAGAATCATAGTATGCTCTTTCTAGTATATGCTTCAGTTTGGATATTGAATAGGTATTGGGAAAGAAAAATAAGCACCATGATTTGCAATCATGATTGGGTAGGTGCCCCACTTAGAAGGAGGGGCGCAGAAGGCTTTTCTTACAAAAGTAACCGTTGAGCCTAGAAGTGAAAGAAGAGAAGTTAGCCAGGCGTCAAGTTTCCAGGGAGAGGAAGCAGCCTGTGCCTTAGGCAATGTCATCTAGAGATGTCCAGCTGATTTCTGTCCTCTTTGTTTTACTCCTGGCCGGTTCAACTGGGTCTCCCTGATCAAAATCAAGGAACGAGCAACCGACTTGTGCTCTTAACTAGAGTTCCCGTGGTGATCACTTCGCCATATATAGATATATCGAATCACTGCTGTGCATCTGAAACTAACATAATGTTATATGTCAATTATATTTCAATTCGAAAAAGAAAGAAGCAACAGAACTGCTCCGAATATCTTGAAATAAAAGCTGATTCTGCTTTCTGTCTGCAAGGGCCATCAGCAGCAGACAGGCAGTGATTTCTGCGAGAGGAACACCACTCAGTGCAGGTATTAAACTTGATGCGACAGCGAAGGCTGACTCCGGCTTCCTAATGCATCTCGAGTCACCTCTTCATCACAGGAAAAAGAGCTCTCTGTTAACACCTGCATGCCACAGCTGGAGTTAAGAAAAACCTCCCAAAAAGAGCTAAAAACAGATCACATTACATGTAAATGTCTGTAAAAAAAAAAAAACCAACTTCTTAGTACTTTGCATTAGGTTTCAAATTTGCTGACTTCCTCTGGACTCCCAGATCTTTTTTTATTTCTCTCACACACTTAAATGGCGTATAGTATTGTATGTCAGCTGTAATTGAAAAATTAAAAATTATTTTTAAAAAAGAGTGTCTTGGAAACCTTCTGCCTCGGTTCTTGGTTTGGTTGCCTGTCTACTTACCCATGTGAGTAGTATGAAGCAAAGGCAAAAAGCAATGGAAATGTTGTGTTCATCTGCAGTGTTTTCCTGTTCCCTATGCCCCAGATCTAGTGCGATCTAATTCTTCCACTAAGGAAAATCAGTAATTTGCTTGCCTCATCCTACGAAACAAAGGTTTTCCCAGGCAGGCTTATTCATGTTTTCCCCGTGAATGGAGCAAGTTTGAAAATCTGTAGGAAATGAGTAAGCCAAACTTTTATCTGAGTCTCTTTCCATTTAAGACACCCAGGACAAAATAATTTCTTCTACAAGTTTCTCATAAAACCAAAAATAATAGTAATACTCCAAGTTCAGTCTCGCTTTGATGCAGGCGTTTTGACAAACTAGAAAACTCAGGGGAAAAAGAGAGGGCAAGAAACAGGACTTCTTGCAGCCGTGCTGTCCGGTACCCCATCACCAGGCCTGGGAAATTATGCCGGGCTGCCAGTTTCATCCTGTCCGGCAAAGAAAATGACACCCTGCCAATTTCTCCTTCCCCTCACTGCCCACAGCACTTACAGTCTCGATCACACATTTTAACCCCAGGTCCTTTTCAATTCAGCGCTCCGTTATATTGTCTTTTTATATTCCACTGGATTTATTTAAGTCTAGAAGGCTTGAAAAGCTTTTAAGCTCCTTGATGAAAGAAACCTTGCCATGCCCTTCTTTTGCAGCCTCCTAAGAGTGTCTATTAGAACAGCCTGAATTTAAATTAAATGATCCATTTCCAAAACCCGTTCTACGACTTAAGCTGTACTCCAAAGGAATCACAACTCTCTAGCTATAATTTAAGCCCTTCTCATTTCTCTGTCCCCCAGGGACTTGGAGCCCCTATGATGCCTGCCATCGAAGTGAAAGCCCCCCATACACTGGAGAGCAATTGTTACACCTTAGCTTTTGCTCCTCTGTTCTCGTCCGTTGTATTTTTAGTCATGAGTGGCTTTTGAACAGCTGCCATCTCCTTTCAAGATTTACAACCCCCACCCCACCCCACCCCCAGGTCACCAGGAACCTATATCTTTGACCCTCACAGCTTTTCAAAAGCCACTGTTAAGGAAACCCTTGTGGCATGTGGAGGGCAGGTGTACACAATGCCTCTCAAACTTGAGCCACCATCAGAAAAACCTGGAGGTCTTATTCGACCCTATTGCTGGGTCCCATCCCCAGAACTTCCGATGCAGCAGGTGTGGGTGGGACCAGACGACTTGCATTTCTAACCACTTCCCAGGTGATGCGCACGCTGCTGCTCCAGGGACACCACTTTGAGAACCAGGGCTCTAAGGGTAAGTCTTTCTGTCAGCTGGCCAGACAGAGGCTAAGGATTTTTTTAGTATGTTTAATCACTATAAGGTGGCTACATTGGGAAGACTGATACCTGTCTATTCCAAAGAGGGGACAGATGACCAAAACACAAAACAAACCAAAAAACCAAAAAAGCTCACACACTTTATAACCTGGGAAAACTTTTGGTGGCTCTGAGTCTTGAGTCTTATTTAGTCTGATTTCCTACTGGCTTCAGGTCCTACGGGGGTCAATTCCGCCGTCTGTCTCTCCTTCAGTGTTTTGCCTTTACCAGGAGCTTCTTACAAATGTATCAGTCACTGCTGTTTCCGAAAGATCTTCCCCATACCCTGACACATTCCCAAATGGCTTCCACCTTTCTCCTGTCCACCAACAGACATGTGAACGTGTAGAATGAACGCAATGCTGGTGTTTTACCAGGTACATCTTAATAAACTCTTGGAGTTTGACTTCAATCACTATTTTTTAAGTAAACTTCCTTCTTTTCTTTCAAATGGCTTCCTGCCTTCTAAAGGCAGTGGCTCTTTCCTTACTGACTTATCTTACAATATTTGATATAGTAGCTCCTTCAGTTCTCTTTTCCTCTTGCCTAAAAAGCATCTTTCGGGAATAACCTGTTCCCCACTCTCTTAGTTTTTGGGCTGGGATGACTTCTTGCCTTGGCTCCAAAGATGGGCATATGACCTAGGTCTGGAGAATCAGAACACACAGCCCTCTCGCCGTGATGACTGGTCTTAGGGGTAGGCGCATAACCAAAGCCATGCCAATCGAAGCCTCTCTCATAAGGGCTGAGCTAAGAGGACTAAGACGCCCTGTCCTAGTGAGGCCATGGAAGCATGGTCCACACAGAGCTGTTTTTACTACCTAGTGAGGAAAGCCCACTTGACAATGAAGCTCTTCAGCAGGGAGCAAAGCTGAGAGACAGAGAGTCTGAGTCCTGACAACAGTGCGGTCCCTTGGATCCAGCCATGCCGAAAGTTCGATTTATCCCTGGACTGTTTAGTTATGTTGTCACAAACAAAACTCTAAGTGGCCCCCAAATGGCCCTGTCCCCTAGTGCACACACACCTTCTCCTAGTTATTCAAACACTAATCTGGGTGTTGCTGCTTCGAAGGGATTTTGCAGATAAAATTAAGCCCCTA